GGGACCACCCAGGCGTGCGAAAGGAACCGCTCGCTCCAACCCACATGAGACGCATCCCCACAGAACCGCTGGCACCTTCGGTGCCACCCTGGCCCTGCTGTGGGCAGGCCAGGCCCAGACTGTCCCCTGCCAGTGCCTGGTGCCATACAGCTGTGTCACCGTGTCCCCCCAGTGCAGACAAACAAGACCCAGGAGCCAGAGGAGGGACTTTACTGAGGGGGAGGGGGATGCCAGGGCTGCGGGGGCATCAGGGGCTGGAGGGGCGTCGGGGTTTGGGGGCACTCGGGGCTGTGCCTGTGGAGAGAGGAAAGAGCAGGGCGTGAGTCAGGGCCAGCACCCTACAGCCTGCAGCAGGGAAGGTTCAGAAACCACAAGCACACTCCCACCCCGTTGGCAGGCATGGGGTAAGGGATGTAGGGTGCAAAGTGTGGGATGCAGAGGGGGGTATGGGATCAGGATGTGGAGTGCAGGATCAGGATGTGGGTGCAGGATGGGGGTGCAGGATCAGGATGTGGGTGCAGGATGGGGGTGCAGGATCAGGATGTGGCTGCAGGATGGGGATTCAGGATCAAGTTGTAGGGTGCACAACACAGTGCAGGACAGGGGCTGTGGGATTACCATGCAGGGTGCAAGACATGGTGCAGGATGCAGGATGGGGATGTGGGGTGCAGGGCACAGGGTATGGGACATGGGGACGCAGGATGCGAGGTGCCGGACACAGGATGCAGGATCGGCCCATGGGATGCAGGATCAGGATACGGGTGGGCACTGACCGTGCTCAGGAGCGGCAGATGCCCATGGCACTGCAGATCTCCTGGGGCGTCTCCCCGTTCTGCAGCGCCTCGCTGATCTTGTCCCGGTACTTGTTCACTATCCGCTTGCACACCTTGCCCACAACCCGGCCCAGCGCCCGGCAGCCCTTCCGCATTGCTGCTGCCACCGCCGACTGCCAAAGCCACCACAGGTCAGGGGGCCACGGGGAGAGGGCCCCTAGCCCAGCCCCCCAGACCCTCATCACCCCTCACCTCGTCGGGGTCGTCACCTGCCAGTGACTGTATCTTCTTCAGGACCTTGGTGCACAGGCTGCACTTAATCCCCCCGCTTTGCCCCACGCCGTCCACGTCAGCCGCATTCCCCTGTGGGGACACAGAACACCCTCAGGGCTGCCTGGACCCCTGGTGGCCCTGGCAGTACTTGGGGTCGGGGTCTCACCAGGGCCAGGCTGTCGCGGAGCTGTTGGCACTGCTGCTCCCAGCCGCAGCGCGTGGCCGTGGCCGTGTCCCAGCACCCGGACGCTGGGTCACCCTGGCAGGGCAGGGGTGCCGTGGCCTCTGCTGCTGCACGGGGACAGGACAGTGAGCGTGGATGCAGGTTGGGTGCCCATCACTGAATTCCCAAACTCCTAAACCACCTGCCCCAGGTATTCAACCCCATCCCCACCATCCCTCATGCCTGTGCTCACATCCTCCTGTTCCCACTGCTCCTAGGTCCCCACATAGACCCTGTCCCCAAATGTCCCCAGGTGCCGGTCCCAACACGGGCACCGTGCCCATCACCCTTGGGTGCTTGGGCAGAGCCCATCCCTGCCACCCCCAGGTGCTTGTTCCCATCCCTGCAGCCCCCACCATCCCTCCTGATTGTCCCCTTGTCCTCCTTCCCACATCCCTGAGTGCCTGTCCCCACACAGACCCCATCCCCATCACACACAGGTCCCCACACAGAGCCCAGCCCCGCAGCTCAATCCTCCAGGCTGCCATCCCCCTCGTCCCGTGTCCTGTCCCGTCCACCTCGGGGTGGCCGTCAGGAGGGTCCCCATCACCTGCCAGCAGCAGCAGCAGCAGCAGGAAGGTGGCAGACATGGCGAGCCCACAGCAGATCACTGACAGCGGGTGCCTGCCTGCGTCCCGACACCTTTTATAGAGCGCTGGGGGGTGGGGGCCCAAAACCCCAAAACCCAAACCCCTGAGAACCGAGCACGGCTGCTCCCCAGGGCCCTTCCTGCCTCACAGCTCCACCCCGCAGGAAGGGGTTACGGGGGGACTTGGGGAGCTCAGCACCCAGCCTCGGCCCTCGGGGAAATCCCACGAGTGGGGCGGGAGGGACAGCCCAGACCCCGAGATCCGTCCCGACA